ATGCACTTTTAACTTAAATCAAAAATGTCATCTTTGATGTAAAAACAGACTGAAGGTGAATCTGGTGTGTAACATTATGTTTCTTTTGAACTGTCCTGAATTTCCTTGAATTTTGACTTTGAACAAGGTTGGCTTTCTTTTAAACATTCGACAGTAGCTATTTTCTCAGTCGTTTTAAAAATTACTTTTCATTAAACTTTGGTCAGACCTCGTACTTAACAACATATTGTAGATGAAAAGTTTTCAAATCTAGGCCTGAAGGTCCAGTCTTGAGGCTTAGATCAAAAAGCTGAATCCCATCTTCAGTACGTAGTTAAGTTCAGAGTCCTGAACCACCAGCCCTCAAGAGCGGGATTTGAATTCCCCTCTTGTAGAGGATGTGTTTAAAAATGTAGAAAGCTGGATAAGTGGAAGATTGTCAGGTTCTTCAGAAACGGGAAAAGTCAACCTGACGTGAACCAAGAGATACAAAATATTTTTACAATCATCTTGTAAATTCTGAAATAATGTTCTCAAACGAGAGCTATGTTTGCAGTTCTCAACTAAAGCCAAACTTAAATCCAGGGAAGGCTTGACTTTTCTATCATAATTCAAGATGTAGTCATGAAGAGGAGGGAGTCTGATTTGGTAACCTCTGTTGTGTTGGTGTGTTCAAACGAATGGTTTACAGAAGCTTACTGGCTTGGAGAAATCAGTCTCTGCCTCAAACAGAAATTCAAATATCTTGGTGTCTTGTTCTCCAGTGGATGGAATAAGACATGGTGGCGCTGCAAAGAAAGTGCTAAACGGAAAGTTTTTGATTTGCTGCTCCATCTGTATTTCAACTGTCTGAATCTTGACTGAGGTAAGAGTCTGAAACGGTCTTAAGGAATCCTGATCAATATTTCTTTCAGAAAATCCTTTGGGCATTTTCATTAAAGGATGAATGGATTTCTCTCAAAATATGTAATAGTTTGAGTTTTTCATTAAATAAAATAAATAACTGGAAACAACCTACATGTCTTAACAGGTCACAAAAGGACCCTTTTTCTTTGAGATATTTTGTAAAATAATTGAAAATGTTTAAAGAAAATACCTTTGAAAAATAAAAATACTAATAAACACTGCTGTGAAATATAAAGTTTGTATTCTTTGAAGCAGTGTAGAGAAATGAATAATGCATGACTTATGCAGTAATAGGTTGTTAAGAGTCCCTACGTACAGGAATATTTTATTAACGTCATAATTTTTATTAGTGTTCTAATATTCTTGTTATTTGCCTCAGTATTATATTACTCAATCAACATTCTGGATCAAAATTATGGTGCATTTTAATACTTTATCCAACTTTTGTTATTAAATTTTGTTTTTCTCTTGCTGCTTCTAGCAATTATTAAAAGCTCAAATGAAATAACTATATCCATGCAAATATTCTTCCCTGTTCCAGCTCATTCACATCCAAATCCTCTTCCTTCAGCAATATTGTACTTGTAATCCCCTCTTTATCTGACAAGAAGCTTCAAAGATTTACTGTTATGAGCAAAATGTGCTCATCTGTTTTCTGCATTATAATAAATTTTGTTGAAACTCATTCATGATTTGGAGTAAGATTTCCCATGTGGGTTTGTTTTCAGTTTTCTTATCTGCCGGTTTATTTTGAAAAATCATAAATCTGTTTTTAACAAGTCATAAAATACATAAAAATATATGGAAAAAGTTCATGAATGAATAATCAAAAAGACAGTTAGCTGAGATTGGATACACATTTGCAAGATGATTTGATTATCTCACCTTGATAATCGGGACTATCAGTTAAACCCATAAAAGCTATTTTTTTCCCCCATGCTTTGTGAACAACCTATAAACAGATCCAACCTCGTGTTGATGTATTTTATTCCCTTCACTTCTTCCTCAGGTTCATCCATCTCTCCTGCTGCCCGGCCCTGCAGCGCTGCCATCGATTGATTCATTCATCTGTTCATCTTTCAAAGAAGCTGCTGCACTTTGATTTGTTGTTGAGGAACTTTCCGCACGGTCAACTCAGCAGCACCTCAGATCACATAACATGTATTTATAAACTGTTTTACTCATGAATTTAGCAGTCAGGTGAGAACATTTCCTCATTGTGCTGCTTCTGCTATCCAAATATGTTGCAAAGATTTGATTTTATTATAGTCAAAAACTGGCAATGCCATAAATTTAGAATCATCTTTTGTTTTTTCCCACAAAGGATGAAGCGATTAAATTACAGCCGTTTGTTCTGCTGTCAGTCTTCCAGCGCGGTGGCAGCTACCTCATTGGAAAGCATTCTCTAAACAGCTCCTGCTTTGTCATGAGAGAATAGGGCAGAAAATACATTGATGGATTTTTTTCTGCCTTCATGTTAATGTATTCTGAAGCACTGGGGTGTTATGGTACTTTGCTGCTCCTCATTGCTCCTCCCCTCCCCATCCTCTCTGTTGCTCCTCATCACTTTCCAATATATTTCTCCATCTGCAAAGACAAATACAACCAGGCGGGCTCTGCTGTGTTCTTGTTGCCAAATTGACATTGAATGTGGATGGGGCTCACAGCAGGATTATGTCATGATTGCCCAAAACAATCAAACCCTGCAGATTGAAGTGGTGCATCATCATAACCTTGAAAGACCTTCACTGGCAGAGAAAAAGGAGTCAAGAGGGCCTCTGTGTCATAACTGTGCAGACAGCAGCCCCTGTTGATCATGCAGAGAAATAAACAAGTGCTTTATAAAAGAAAAAGACAACAGCTACACATGCTAAAACTACAGCAACTCTAGATTAAAGGAAATATATTTTATGTACAGTCTGTTAATAACAGCTCGCTTAATAACCTTGTTCATGATCTAAGTAAACATGAGTCAGGAGTAATTGGAAGGACTTTTAATGTGCTGCTACATAATTAGTTGTTTGCTTATAGAAGATATGTTACTGTAATTTTAATAGATATATCACATTTTTGATGTTATTTAGAAGGCTACCAGAAAGAGTGAACTCAGAGATCAAACTGCTCCATAAATATTAGCACTCTGCTAAATATCTATATAAAGGCTGAGAATACTGTATTTCAACTTTTATTTCAATAGTATAATCTCACACTGAACGTTTTAGAAAGATCAAAACTAATTTCAGATTTATTGAGTAACACAGTAATTGATGACACTATTATAAATTTATGTATTCTATTTTATATTGACATGATCTGACATAGAAGCCTGCCTCTCTTATCTACTCTTCAAATGGGAAAGACAAAATAAACATGACATTCAAGTAAGGGATGCATATTGATCTAAGAGGTGCAAATAAATGAATAGAACGACGATTGAAAAAAATGGTTTCAAAATAAAGTGTAATGTATTCCAAGATTAACGTCAACAAGTGATGGATATTTTATGAAAAAAATGTGAAAGTGATAATTCATTTCACATGTAATTACTTAATTAATTTAGTTCCGTTTATTTCTATTTTCATCTGTGTAATGATTAGCACATTTAAACAATTAAGAACATGTTTTTGTTTATATATTTAATTAATTTGTTTGTTTATTTGATGCATACTTATTGCATACAACACCGAGATATATATATATATATATATATATATATATATATATATATATATATATATATATATATATATATATATATATATATATATATATATATATATATATGTGTGTGTGTATATATAATTTTATATATACACATATATATAAAATTATATGTGTTTTATAATATAATTATTATTGTATTTCTCTTTTGGCACCCTATCGATCTCAGCCTAAGGTTTATTAAAAAATATTTTATCCATTTTTATTATTTTTTGACGCCTAAAAAAATACGACGTTGCTTGCAGCTTTTATTTCGAAGAGCCACAGTTCCTTCCATAACTTCCGTATCTCTTCTTCGTGTTTTTTCATGCGGTAGGAGTGTGTTCTGGCTGCTTCATCGAAATAAATAACCATGTCTATTGAAGTTGAATCTGCAGAGTAAGTAGTCTCTGAAACAACAGTTAACTTCTATGTGTTTGATGAAAACTTGCAACTTATATATCTGAATATTAAATATTTATATTTAAGGAGAGGCCTCTCTCATCCTGAGCTGCAGAACACCGACCGACGTTAGCACCCTAAGCTAGCATGCTAACTTTTTCAAGCACTTTAAACGTATATCCTGCTCATCAGCTTGCCTAAGTAGATTGTTTAGTTAATTGTAGTGCAGGAATGGGCTTTTAACTGCTCACTCGTTTCATAGTTATACTACCCCACACACAAACAATTTGAAAAGGCTAAATGAAGCTAAAGTTAGCATCAGTTAGCGTTTCGCTCATTCAGCTATAACTGTCAAACTTGGGCAAATTAAGACATTATCATGCAACATGTACTGTTTTGCCTAAATATGTAGACATACTGTTTTGTAATTTGATGCACTCCGTAGTTCCTTCATAATTCTGTTAAATGGAAATGTGTAAGGACCTGAAAAGTCTGGAGACGTTTTAACGAAGGAGGTTTGTTAATAAAGCGTTATTTTTAGTATATATTTGTTGATTTTATGAACCCATTAAATGAAGAATATGAGTTGACGACATAGATTTTATAGATTAGTAATATTAGGCATGCTACCTAAATATCCAAATAAGTTGCATGTCAAAAAGTGGCTTAATTAAAAAAGAATTGTACACAAAAAAATCATGTAAAATATTATTTTTTAACATGAAAAACAGCGATAGCACACATTGTGACCAGCTATAACATTTAGTATTCATATTAGCTAAATCACCAGTATAATTTCTGTCTTCCCAGCGTGGTGCGTCTGATTATGCAGTACTTAAAGGAAAATAATCTGCACCGAACCCTGGCCACGTTGCAGGAGGAGACAACAGTGTCTCTAAACACAGTGGACAGCATAGAAAGCTTTGTGGCGGACATCAACAGTGGTCACTGGGATACCGTTCTCCAAGCCATCCAGTCCCTCAAGCTACCAGATAAAACCTTGATAGATCTTTATGAACAGGTGAGTCTTTAATCTGTTATTTTTGTTACATCCTACTACCCAACATTTTCAGAACTGTATTGTTTAATAGTTATTCTAGCTCATTTCGACCTATTGCAGACTAGCTTTAAGTTATAATCAATGTATTATATTAGCTGTGTTTATAAAATTAGCTTATTATTAACCTGGGTATCCTTTTCCTGACCAGGTTGTCCTGGAGCTTATTGAGCTGAGAGAGCTCGGTGCTGCTCGTTCACTCCTCAGACAGACCGATCCCATGATCATGCTGAAACAGACACAGCCAGAGAGATACATCCACCTGGAGAACCTGCTGGCTCGCTCCTACTTCGATCCCAGAGAGGTGAGTGCAACATGTCCAGCAGATGCAGCACTGTTTCATCCTTACGGTATTAGTTTAGTGTCCTAGTTAAATCCAATTTACTGATCTGGGGGAGATTTTAATTTTCCAAGTTGAGTCAGGTCTCTGCTTCTGGATTGAACATTCTGTTGGCTGCATTTTCTGCTGATATTGATTGTGATATATATTGATTATTTATTTCCAAGCTCTAGTTTGTCATGTGTTTTTTAAGCTTTTATATGTGCACTTTAAAAATTGACTGAAGAACTAATGCACAATGTGGAATTTTGCTGTGTTTTCCCTTTGTAACTTACTTGGATGTGTTTCTGTACAGGCTTACCCAGATGGCAGCAGTAAAGAGAAGCGGCGCGCGGCCATCGCTCAGGCCCTGGCAGGAGAGGTCAGCGTGGTGCCGCCCTCCCGTCTCATGGCTCTGCTGGGACAGGTTAGTAACCTTAAAACCTTTAAACCTGCATTATATACACAAGTTGCTGACATTTCACAACTCTTAAATTTCCTTCTTCAGTCTCTGAAGTGGCAGCAGCATCAAGGTCTCCTGCCGCCTGGTATGACCATCGACTTGTTCAGAGGTAAAGCCGCTGTGAAAGACGTGGAGGAGGAGCGCTTCCCCACTCAGCTGAGCAGGCACATAAAGGTACCCACACTGTCAGAAATATGACCTGCAGAAGGGGTTGTATTGGCCCCTCTTTAATCCAAGCTGCTCATTTAGCCGAGCTGGGTACAAGTCATTTTCTCTCTCTGCAGTTTGGACAGAAATCTCACGTGGAGTGTTCTAGATTCTCCCCTGATGGTCAGTACCTGGTCACTGGGTCTGTGGACGGATTCATTGAAGTATGGAACTTCACCACTGGAAAAATCAGGAAGGTATAATAATCTTCCGAATTAGGATTTGAATAAACAAAATGTATGCACTTAAAAACACAAAATCTTACTGTTTTTGGTCTCACTTCTAGTGCAAGTACTAGTTATGAGTGAAAGAATCTGCCAGTGGAACGAGTACCTTTAAATCAATATTAAGGAATTCATTACATAAAACAAGCTCCTATATCTTGCTGAAAAGTTACTTGTAACATAATTACAAGTAGGAAATTTGTCTTAGAAACTAGACAGAAAATACTTGAAAAGATTTTGTGCTTTTGCAGTGAATTTGTGTATTTGTTTGACAAGACTTAATTTGCCTGTTTTCCAGGATCTGAAATATCAGGCTCAAGATAACTTCATGATGATGGATGATGCTGTGCTGTGTATGTGCTTCAGTCGAGACACCGAGATGTTAGCAACTGGAGCCCAGGATGGAAAGATTAAGGTCACTTTTTGTATCTATTGTATTTTGATGTTTTTAAAACACAGTTTAACTCTTACTGTTTTCATTCTACATTCTTATTTCATTCCCTATTGTTGTAAAATACATTTATGTAAAAAAGCATAAAATCATGGAATGATGGAGCAGTATTTGCTGTTCTCTCTGCCTTGAATCATCATTAAATTCTTTGCATACTTGCATGTAGGTGTGGAAGATTCAGAGTGGTCAGTGTCTGAGGAGATTCGAGCGCGCCCACAGCAAAGGAGTAACTTGTGTGAGTTTCTGTAAAGACACCAGCCAGCTGCTCAGCGCCTCCTTCGATCAGACCATCAGGTAAACTCATCTAAACTAACTTCTCTCTTTCACTCCGAACACTTTTGTAAGTGCAGCTTTTTGAAAGCCTCAAGTGGCTTCGTAGTCTTTGCTGAACACGCGTGCTCAACTCTTTTCATTTTTCGTTTTTTTGTTTTGTTTTGCACAAGAATCCATGGACTGAAATCTGGTAAATCACTGAAGGAGTTCCGTGGCCACGCCTCGTTTGTCAACGAAGCTACATTTACCCCAGACGGCCATCACATCATCAGTGCGTCCTCAGATGGAACAGTCAAAGTAAGATATTGAAAAATGTTAAGATTTTACAAACTATAGAAAAGAAAAGAGAGTGATTTAAATTGTTTTTCCAGGTCTGTACATTTATGTACATCCAGATTTTCAGATCAGTTTTCTGCTCCATTAAATCACCTTTTTATCATGTTTTTTTATTTAAAAGATGCTCATCCAAATATGTGTATTCAACCATTCAGCTGTACATTTGTTAGACACTCTAGCAAACCATTCATTACTTTGCTCCTCCTTTTAGTTTTCCATCCACCTATTATTTTGTCTCCCTATCCCTGTGTCTATCCCTCCATTAATTTGTCTATTTAGTCACCACAGTTAATTTATTAATCCTTACCTACAGTCAATTTTTCTCCTTCAATAAATAGTACATGAAAGAGAACTTGAGTCTGAAAAAGTATGGCAGACTTTCTCTTTAACTTATTGGGATCCTAACATGAATCATCCAGTCCGGTTGCAGCATACCGACTTCTTTCCTTGTGTTTTCTTTTCAGGTGTGGAACGTGAAAACCACAGAGTGCAGCAGCACTTTTAAGCCTCTCGGTACGTCAGCTGGCACAGACATCACCGTCAACAATGTCCTCCTGCTGCCCAAGAACCCTGAGCATTTCGTAGTGTGTAACCGCTCCAATACAGTGGTCATCATGAACATGCAGGGACAGGTAAGTTTAAGTTTTAAGTATATATTTTCAAGCTTTTATATGTTCTTTTTATGTGAGCATCTTTGCTTTTCTTGCCTGAACACAGATTGTGAGGAGTTTCAGCTCTGGTAAAAGGGAAGGCGGTGACTTTGTGTGCTGCACACTGTCGCCCCGCGGCGAGTGGATCTACTGCGTAGGTGAAGACTTTGTGCTCTACTGCTTCAGCACCGTCACAGGCAAACTGGAGAGAACACTGACGGTACGATGCTGCACGCAAACACAGATCAAAGAGTCCAAAAATATCACAGCACACCCCCTGCACTGCTTATGGTGCAGCATCTGTCAGGCAAATCTCCACACAGGTACTGATGGCGAGAACGTAAACCTGCAGGATGCAAACACAAACTGATTAATACTCAAGGTTGTATCTTAATCAATGATTTTCTAAATTAAGCTTATTGTGCTTTGATTGCCTTTAAACAAATTTCCCCACTTGCTTTGCTGCTATACTTTTATTTTTAAAAAGTAGCTTTAGTAATATAGTTAAATGTGTGCAGAAACCCTGACATCCATGCTTTGTTTTTAAAATCTATATTTTACTGAAACTATAATGCTTTGATCAGAACATTAAATGTGCAGGTATTTGCTGTATTGTCAGCTTTTTTATCTACCACGTTGATACTTTATGTTGTTCTGCAACACTGACTGGAAAGCAACAGTTTTTCTCTCAAACAACTTTCTGGGTTTATATATTAATGAAGTTGTCTTGGCTCAGCTGCTACTAGTCTTAAAGTTATGCCTTTTATTTGTGTCTTTTCAAGTCTTGTCTCAGTTCTTCTATCATCTATATCCACCTGTATTATGGCCAACCTAGTTAACCCAACTGCATTTAAAAAAATATAAATCCAGACCTCTTCCTCAACTCAATTCCAGAAATTACTGCAAAATTTATTTACAACAAACTGAAGCTGTTTTTTCAGGGCGAAGCAAAGCCAAAATTACAAGGATTTTACGCAGTCAGTGCTTCCAAAACTCTACATACAAACAAAAGGAGACACCTTCCCCCATCTAGGCCTGTCACAGTAACAAATTTTGCTGGATGATAAATTGTCTTAGTAATTATAGCGATAAACAATGATTTTGTTTTAAATCTATTTTCAAGTAATATGTTGACAATGGCTTAATAATGCAAGTTCACCCACTCAAAGACCAGTAAACTTTTTAATTTAGTAAAGAACCTCTAACATTAGAACTGCAAAATAAGAAAGATTTTCTAGGAAGAAGAGTTCTCACTCGGATCTGAAAAGAAACCAACCATAATCCGTTCTTCTTTGACGTCTGTAGTTTTTGCAGCTTTGACCACTGCTAAGTTGAAAACTGAGTTTTACCTTTAGCACAGCAGTGAAGTTCTGCTCCAGGTGGCTGATTCTGCTGCTTTCTTCTTCAGGTTCACGAGAAAGATGTGATTGGCATCGCCCATCACCCCCACCAGAACCTGATCGCCACTTACAGCGAGGATGGCCTGCTGAAACTCTGGAGACCCTGAAGCATCCTCAGGAGAGGAGCCTGGACATTCTCTCTTTTTTCCATCCTTTTTGTTTGTTTTTTGTTGTTTTTTCACTTTGAATCCTTCCCAGGATCAAATGGACTTTGATGTACAGAAGAACCATCAGTCTTTTACACTCAGAATAAATGGAAAGGTAGTTCATTTAAAAAAAAGTGTACAGTTTTTTTCTTTTTTTTTTAAAGTTTTTGTATCATTAAAATCTAGCAGCTTATGGCATTTTAATGTAGCCTATGGGACTAAAGTTCTCTATTAGACAGAGAAATGTTTTAGCTTCAGTTTTTTGTCACAGATGTTTTTTAACAGCTGGGCAGGAACTCCTCATTTTAAAATAAAATAAGGTTTTGATCCCTTAAATTTTTCCTTTTGTCCAAAACAGAACTCCAAAGATGACAGTAAGAAGACTTGCTCAGTGCAGAGAAATGTGAATGTTTTCATATGAATTTAGAAAATTTCTGGCAAATCACTTGAAAACTTGAAGATCCACTGGAAGTATATGTAATATTTTTCTGTCTGTGCCATTAAAGCCCTCTGAGCTGAACAGTGCAATTATTTTGGTGTATAATTAAACAACAGACCTGGAAGAGTTGTAAGGTATTTAACAAATTTTGTTTTTGTTTTCATTTTTTTAAGCTTTAAGTTGTTGAAACATGTCTCAACTTTCTTAGCCAGTCTTTGTGGGAGGAAAAAAAGGACCCTACATTCACCCATTTTTCATGAAGCAGAGGCCTGGTGGAATTTAAACCCAAAACAAACGGGTCCACTGATTCTTAAAGCAGCTGCTCTGCAGAGAAAACTGTTGGGCTTTTCAGCAAAAGCTTCAAAATAAAAGCCTGTGTTGCATGAAGACCTCTTTTTCTTCCAAATTTATTTTTTTTAAGTCAGCTTGATCATAACTAAAATCTAAACATTAATGATTTGTGTTTCTGAATGTCTGTTATCTTTTTTCGTGAACAAGGGATGGTTGTTTACAGCGCAGGCAATTTCCAGTAAACTTCATAACATCCTACTGGTGCACTAAAGATGTCACGGCCAAATGTTAGCAAGTAGGTAAAACTTCAACAGAATCTGCACCTTCAGGAAGCAATCGTTTCTCATTGAGAGCTGATAATATTGCCATTAACAAAACATATTTAATATTCCAAGTATGTGATGTCTTCTGCCTACTGACATTTGAGCCATTTTTTTCTCACCATTTATTCATGCATGCAACATGTACTAAGACGTGTCCCATTCACTAAAGGGAATTTGGTAGCATAACTTATTTTATCACGTTAGTTGGATGCTGGCAGCATGCTGGCTAATGTTAAAACAGCAAGATAAATGTGGGTAACCATGGCAACCAGTATTTTTTCCTCAGTGCGCGCACATCCGTTGAGTTGACAAAAAAAGAGCAGAGCATGATGCTAGTTTTTAGCCAGTCTAGGCTTTGCTTTCTGATAACATGTGTTTTCTCACTACAAAAATAACATTTATTTTTTACTATGGTATAAAATAACAAAGTTGGTCCCATTGCTTTGTTTGCCTTGAAAGCAATTTTATTACAACTAATATCTTTTACACACAACTATAGCTTGTGTGTAAAAGGAAACAGTTTCCACTAGTTGCAGCTTGACAGCGAGGCAGAGCTCCAGGTCAGGGAGGTTGAATGAGTGTTCAGTGTGTGAGGGTTTTCCATTGGAAAGGCTTACTATGGCAGCATTTCTTCCCATCTCTCTGCTGATATTTTCAGCTTCTGGATTCTTTGTCTTTGTTTGTGGCCACTTGACAGATTTCACATTACTGGTCAAACCTACTGTGGTTTCAGGTGTAGATGTTGCCACAGAGATTATTTTTTCTGCAGGGACTTCCAATGCATCAGAGGTTCCCACCACAAAATTCACAACCAGCTACAGAAAGTCAACAGCTGAAACCACCACAGAGAGCCCGACTGGGAAGGAAGGTCAGAAACCAGTGAGGAAAGTCCTGAAAACGGAAAAAGAAGATGATGAAGGTCCTCTGGAATTAGGTGAGGTCTTATCAGACAATTTTGTCTGATAAAACTTTTTTTATTGCATTTGAATCAGTCTTCAAATTTAAAGTGACTGCTAATGTCCACATGTTTATTATTTCTTTGCAAAATGTCTATATTAAATATGCATGCATTGCACCACTGTGGTAATAAATGTTATTGCTCTGAATATGAAGAAAATGCACAAGAGTAGCTAAAGTTTAGCATGCTTTTAATCTGATCAGCCTTGATTTGTACTTAAAGCTTAAGTAGCTGCAAAGCATCTTTTTCGCATTTCTGTGTCCGAGTGTTGGGGGTAGGTCACGTTTTATGCTGATGAAACCCAGATGGTCTTTCTAATGACTGAGTTTAAATAAACAGGGAAAAATTGCTCTTTTTCTCCCAGTCATTAGAGTCTGAGATGTAAATCAAAGAAAACTAGTGTCTGCTGAACAGTTTATTTTTTGATTTGGTCAAATGTTTCCCAAAACCCACTGATGATCCATTTTCAGACTGAGCACAGCATATTTTAGTACAAACTGTAAGTATTTCAAAGACTTTATGCTACCTTGAACTCTAACAATGTTTACAAGGCTTTTGTAGGAGAAATTGGCCCACAGCATCACAGACCATCAGCCACGCTTAATGGTGGACAGCTGCTTCTCCATATGTTTATCTTTTATTTACACAGGACCTTTCAAAAATTTTTGTTAGTCTCATTCCATGTGAATCCTTTCTAGGGTGTATGGTCTTGTATAAAGTCTTGTTAAAAGGTGTTTTGCCTTTTTTTATAGCAAAGAGATCCACAAGAAGCCTTACGGTAGCAAAGAAGCTCAAAAATGTCCTGAAGAAACCAAAAGTCATTCCTAAGAAGCCAAAGGTCACTAAAACACCAAAACCAGAGATCAAAAAGGTCAAACATCAACAGTCAGCTGCCACAAAAACTGCCTCACGTATGTATTCAGAAAGGCTCTGAAATATACAGTATGACAATCAGACAAGGACCAAATTTTAATGCCGATTTGCTGCTTTTAGAAATGGGTTTTGCTTTGTTGTCAATTGATCAAGTCATGGATAGTTTATGTAATAAAACAGTGTATCTGCTAAACATCAAACTGACCTCAAAATTATCAGCAAATCCACAGAAGAAAACAGCAAATGGGCTTTTTGTTGAAGAAATTCTGAAATGACTAATTTCTTTAAGGGCATATATCATCATTTTCTTTAATTTCCAGCTATGTTCAGGCTTATCTCTTTGTGTATTTATATTCTGCTTCATTCAATTCATCATTCAGATGAGGAGCATGAAAGGAAAAATGGCAGCTGAGTACACTGCAGAAAATTGCTGAAGACCTGAGTCATGCATAAAAGAACTGCTTGAGTTACTCCATCATTTTTCCACGTTGCCAATAAGCGGCCAGGCGTCCACTTGGCATATCTCCAATAAAAAATATTGATTTTTAGCCATTAAAACAATCAGTCTTGTCACTGCAGAGAAAGATTTCCAGACTTTAGCCGTTAAGTTTTAACCGGCGTGACAAAAGGGCCTTTTATCAGAAAAGCAAATTTAACATTACTTATCTGCTTTAATGCGCTAACGACTCTGAAATATGATGATATTTGCCTTTTACACAATAATAGTGACTTTCACTCTCACCCCAGAGCTGATGTGAGACATACTGTATATTGTGAGCTGATTGTATAATTGTTTAGACTAAACCTGCTGTGTTTAGTTTAACCAGTATCATCCTGGCAGAAACATCAACTTAAAAGCTGATTATCAGAATAAAAACTTGGCACAAAGTAGATAAATCAGCTGAACGATGTTTCTCTCTTTCATGTGCCACATTTTTCTTTCTATTTCTAAAGTTGGCATCACTTTTTAGATGCATGTGTTCTGGTTTCCCTTTCTTATAGGACCTTTGAATATTGTGTTGGTAAATAAATTAAAGAAAGACCTTAATGTGAAACTACGGTGTGAGAAAGACTTTCTGTTGTTTAGGAAGTTGAAAATGAATCATGCTTTTTGTTTTACTATAAAAAAAAATTAGCGGAAAAGGGGAATACATTTTCTGCCCTTCTGGTATTCAAAAGATTTTATTATAAACTATTGCTTATTTATTTTGGATTTTTCTACATTTATCGAGTTAATCAACTGCTTAAGCTGAGGATTTTTGTGTTTTCTGCCAAGTTTCTCCAGCTCAGCATCAGTGGTTTCAGGAGATATTTGCTGTTTGGATGGACTCCAGAGGTCAGCAACACCAAACAGTCATTTTTAGTCACAAGAAGCTGGAGAGGTCCCTCAGGACCACAGGGCAAAATGGAGGCAGGGCTTTAGCAGTCACTTCCACAGTTTCAACTCTTTAGTCTGACACTTTTTAGCAGCCAAGGGATCTTCCTGGCAGGAAGAGGCAATTCCAGCTGAGCCGAATACTGCAGACAATGGAAAGTCTGTCTAAGTCTGAGGCTTCAGTGGAAATGCAAAAGATGTTGGGATGGCATAAAAATCAGATCTGAGATTATTCTGCTTTCTTTCTTTTTTCCCTCCCTAATCTGGAGTTCATTAAATGAGCTCCACAGATATATTTCCCAAAACATTTATTTTAACTTGAGAGATTCTAGTTGTCATGTAGGTGACGCATTTATTCTTGAGTCTGTCTGACAGGAGATTTTGGAGATTTTTGGGATGAATTCGATATGAAAATTAGCTGCTTACCTGAACACTTTCTGTTTGTGAATTCAATAATGGCAGCATGTCGAAGAAGCTCTATTAAGCTTTATTTGTTCTTTCATACTATGCAGCATAAAACTGAATATAAAAAGCATGTACTGTACTTTTTGCTGTACTATTACTAATTCATCATCTAAGCAAATTTCTTTCCATCCTTTTTGCACATTGCAGGCTTTCCAGAGCTAATCCCTTGACTCTCTGCAATTTACTGTTTGTTGTTCTATAGCTATGTGTCAGTGTTTGGATCATACAATTTATATAAAGTATAGAAGTTTTAATTCAGGTTTTACCTTAGGGTTTTCAGTGTGTTCTGAATGGTGATGGATACTACAGGCAGATATCAGGAAGCACTGCAACATTTGTCAGTTTTGTTTTTGTCAGAGTTGACACCTATTAAACACAGCACATAATACAGGAAAGACAAGAGAAAGTTAGATTCTTAATACTCGCGAGGAGAACAGACAGAGATGTGCTTTCAGTTACAAATCTCCAACTGCTCTGAAGCACATTTGCCTGCTCCTCTCTTTTTATTGTCTTTAGGATCCCTAATCACAGAGAGCGCTGTAACTCTAAAGGGAGGGGAAAGACACTTCATCACACAGTCATGTGATGTTGTTAGTTAGATTATCACTAACTAACAACACAATCTATCTCGCACTAGCTTATCCAGTTCCTGACCCAGGATCAAGCAGGACAAGTTGTACATCTTCACGGCGATGGTTTTATAACTATCTAAGAGGTCAAAGCAGGGCGTTCTGTGAAGAGCTGCTGTCACTGCTCTTCTTCAGAGAGGCCTCCTCTGAGGAAGGAAGCAGAGTGATTAACAATACAGAAACATTTCTTAAAAGATATGACTAAACTAAATAAGTAAGAATACATAAACTAAGAACATAATAAAGATATAACAAATAGTTGATAATAATACAATTTACCTAACAGTTTTATTTCAAGTGTACTAAACTCTGCAATGGAAACAAATACTTGGTAATATTTTATGTTTCTGCAGTGTAGTCATACCTTGCACAACTTTTAATTTTATTAAAGCCTTTCCACATATCCAAACACGGTCTGTGCAAAATTAGAGGCTAAGAAAACAAATTTCATTTTTAAATGATGCATAAAGATCTGTTGACTGTCAGAATGTCCTCCTCTGGGTCTGGAGTCACTGAGGGTGAAAGACGCTCAGCTGAGGGCTTCATCCTACAAGCGACAAGGCCTGGGACCTCACCGCGGCCGACTCAACATCCAGGTACATGTCACATCATCTGCCTGCAGATTCAACCCTGCTGTACATTTTACTGCTGTTCTTCTGCTGCAGTCTGGAATAGACGATGGGGATATCTACGACGGGGCCTGGTGCGCTCGGTACAAAGACAAGAACCAATGGCTGGAAGTTGATGCCCAGAAGCTGACCCGTTTCACCGGGGCCATCCTGCAGGGGCGCAACTCCATCTGGAGGTCAGTGCTGGTGGGAACAACAAGCTTGTTTAAAACCAAACCACTCACCGGACTTAGACACACACCTGCAGTTTTTATTAAAAACTTTATATTGAAAGAAACTGGTTTGGAAAAATCTTACCTTTGTCTGATTTTGCTTTTTTTGAAACTATGTTATTTATATGAAATATTTTCAATTTGATCTTTAAAATAACAAAATGTTTACATAACTTTTTTAATTTGGTCCATCTTATTTCATCATTTTTAAATATTAAATGATTAATGTTTTGATCAATTACTCAGTACTTGAGCTGACTTTTACCAAATACTTTTTTTTGTCTTACTTGAGTAATTTCTAACACAGCTACTTTTTACTTTTACTTTGCGTAAAAAATATGTTGAAGTAGTGCTACTCTGACTTGAATGCAACTTTTGAATACTCCATCCACTTGTGGCAACAAGGGAGTTTTTGCTGTTATGTTGGGATGCATGTTGAAAAATTTAAATACATAAAATTCTTTAAAAAACAAAGCATTTTATATTTTCATAACCCTGGATGGAACCTCCAAATATGAAAATATTTATGTTTTTACTTCAGCCTCTTTGCAAAGTTTCTGCATTTGCCACACATTTTCTTTTCTTTTGTTTTTTCTCTCCTTTTCTTTACATATTTGTTTGACTTGCATGCAGTTGGGACATGGTCCAAACGTACAAGGTTCAGTTCAGTAACGACACGCTGCTCTGGAAGCCCTGCATGAACGGGAGCAAAGAGGCTGTGAGTGAGAATCTGATTTCATGAAAAACGTTTTTCCACCTTCTGCGTGCGCCTTTAGTATCACCAACACTCAGCACACCGCCTTCTGCTGCAGATATTTGAAGGAAACCAAGACATAGAAACTCCAGTCCTCTCCCTGTTCGACAGTCCCGCAGTGGCACGCTACATTCGGATCAACCCTCAGACGTGGTATCAGAACGGGACAGAGGGAGACATCTGCCTCAGGGCAGAAGTGCTGGGGTGCACACTTCCTGGTACGAGAAAAGAAACAGCAGAAAACATTTTATTTTTTATGTGTTTGTTTGGTTGTAAAGCAGTAGCATGCTAAAGTATTCAAAAGTACTAACTCTTTAGCAATGTTAAACTTTAGTGCATTTCAAAATGATTTACGATTTTTATAAAAATTATTGCTCTGAGTATGTTGATCCATCAGATTATTGTCTATTTTGATGGACAAAATAATCAATTATTACATCAGGTAATAATTGATTGGTAAATGAATAAGTTGACGATTATTTTAATAATTGATTAATCGTAGGTGACTCCATATAAAACCTCTAACACAGTTAGGTTATTTCATTTAGATTTCACAAAATCTAAAACGGTTGAAAAACATTAACTGTCTTTGTTCCTTTTCCACAGATCCCAGTAATGTCTATGCATGGCAGACAGAACCAACAGAGTCCAGAGACAAACTGGACTTCAAGCACCACAACTATAAGGAGATGAGAAAGGTAGACGGACACCAAAATCTGTCCAGAAATTATATTTACAGTAAAAACATTATTCAGTCAACTCCACTCTGCTAATGTTCTTTCTTATTGTTTAGTACTACAGAAAACTTGTGTATGTTTGGAAAAGTAGGGCCAAATGTTCAGCCTTTAACATTTTCACTTTAGTGTCTGCTTGAAGACCCTTTTCCTGAATCTGAAACTGAGAATAAATTGGATCCACATCTCCTTAATTATGACAAAACTCATGCAATCTACACAAAAAAATGACATGAGGAAAGTTGGGTACATTCATGCTTTTGTAATTAAATTTTCTGTCTCTCTCAGACAGTATGTGGTTAAATTTACAATTATTTTCTTTTCCAGTTGATGAAGTCTGTGCATGATGAATGCCCCAACATCACCCGTATTTACAGCATCGGGAAAAGCTACAAGGATCTGAAGCTTTACGTCATGGAGATCTCAGACAATCCTGGGAAACATGAACTGGGTGAGATTGTGGGTTGCAAAGATTTTTCTAAAATATAGTCCAGATTCTCTAGAATCAGTCAAACCTGGTTGGAGATTTTGTCGACAAAAGTCAAACAGGTTTCATTTAAAATTCAGTTATTTTTTCTCAACAGGGTGTCCACACATTCTTAAAATGTCTCAAATTAATTTAAAAAAGTAAATTGGTCTTAAATTTTGTCTTGGCAGGACTATTTCATTTAGTAAATTCTTTGTATGTTTTTTTTCGGGATTTTTCTGTCTTGCCAAGACCCTCATAGAAATCTGCCTTCTGTGGCTTAAAGCTACAGAATCTCGCTGCTAGCATACCGTTGCTAACTGGCTAGCTAGCTGTTTTGCTTCATGGCTAAGTACAAATTTACTGCCTGGACAAACATTTACTATATACTGATGTATCTCATCAACAGTCAAGTCAAGCACAACCTAAAGCTGCTCCGCCTGGAGTTCCTCTATGTTTGCTCTGAGATGTACAAATGTTTTCTTTGGCCCATTTAGTTTGGGGGAGATTTTCCCACCAAAAGAAAAAAAAAAACATGTCAGAGAAGCAATCAATGTGGAGCTGAGGGAGGCTGATTAAATACTCAGACAGAAAATGAGGGAAAAAATTACCACAATGGATTTCAGCTTCTTAAGGGAAAAGCAAAGAGTATTGTATGTATGTTTTGATGCTCGTTTCAGGAGAACCAGAGTTTCGGTACGTTGCAGGGATGCATGGGAACGAGGTGCTGGGTCGGGAGCTTCTGCTCAACCTGATGCAGTACATGTGCCAAGAGTACAAACGAGGAAACCAGCGGATCGTCCATCTGGTCAAAGAGACTCGCATCCACCTTTTGCCCTCTATGAACCCAGACGGATACGAGATGGCCTTTAAGAAGGTGCCAGAAAACCTGAATTAATGTTCCTATTCTGAGCTTAAAAAGAGCTTCAAACAGAACCAAATCCTTTTCCTTGCGTCCTCAGGGCTCCGAGCTGGCCGGCTGGGCTCTGGGACGGTACAGCTACGAAGGCATCGACATGAACCACAACTTTGCTGATCTCAACTCAGTGATGTGGACCGCCATCGAGCTGGAGACAGACCAGTCCAAACTCATCAACCACTATTTCCCCATCCCTGAACAATACACCTCTGAGGAGGCTTTTGTAAGAAATGCAGACATCTAGTTTTTGTTTCAAAATCAACAAAACTTCATCAAGTTTGCCTGAACAAACTCACCAAAACTTGCACATCAACTTAAATTTTACGTGAAAAATAGCTGCGTAAGATTAAGCCAATGCACTTGGGTTAAATTTAAAACTTTGGAACTTTCTTCAGAATTTGTTGATGCGGTGTTGAGGTAATGCATTTCTATAAATCTGCTGTGTTTTAGACCCCTCAAACTCATATTATAC